TAAATTTATTCTAAATTTATTATATTCTATATTAGTCAAAACAGTCCTCTGGTAAATCAATATGTATAGGAAACAGAGATTAGGAAAACCCTTCATGACAATACACCTTTGAAGCCTTTAAAAATTATGTATTTCAAGTATTTTCAACGGCCATTAAAATTATATTCTCAGTTTCGCTTCAAAGGATCTCTAAAGGTCTTTTTTATGAAGACCTAACTGGAATGTAACATTCTTTCCAGCTATGTAGAGACATCACCTCATATAAATTTCATCAGCAGTATGAATATTGCAGGAAAACACTTTTGTTTGCCCTGACAGTGGACAGTTCCTGACCAGGTGCTGAACAAGGACTACAATCTGCCTCAGTGGGCTAGAGCGTTAGGGTACCGGTTTAGTAATGAATCTACTGGTTCGCTTCTAGCTTTATAATCCCCTTCAGTAGAAAATCTAGCCAACTGAGGGCTTTAAAATCCATTTGACACTGACTGATGTCAGTCAAGGAGAACCTGGCTGAGGAGGAAACAAGCAGAGACCGGGAGTAGCGTTCGTAGTATAAACCATGGCGAGAAAGGCAGACAGTTTGCAAATAGGGCTGAAAAGCTTATAGTTGAGCAGGGAAGAAGCCTGTTTAAAGTAGGAAAATCAGGAATATTCATAAGAGATGGGTATTCCAGAACAGTGTAAAGAAAGAACTCTGAAAAGTGATCTGAACAAAACACATAAAAGGCCTGGACAACGGTAGGGCTGCAGCTGGTAGGTTTAAGTAACCTGGTTTCCAGGTACTCACAGTATCTTGCTCTCAGGGGCTGAGCGTACAAGCACCAGTTAGTTCAGTGTTTGCAAGTGAAGCCCGCTCTGCCTGCAGTGTTTACTCCCCCCCATAACACAGCCAGCCAGCCAAAACAACTCTGCATAGTAGGGGCAAGTTACACTGCATAAGGCACCAGCGTGCACACCTCCCCAGTAGCTTATACCACGTGAAGACTTTGTGTGGTCTATTGGCGACATCCACTAATACTAGCTGAACTGGAACGAGGGAGAAAGGGGAATTCCCATTCTTGACTAGTTATTTCTAAAGCTCGACCATGAAAGAGATAAGAGGTGCTGGTCTTGAACGAATCTGTTTGGCACTCTAAAATATTTAATAGCATTGACTGCTTGACCTTCTAGTAAATTATGTTCATTTTGAAAGACTGCAGCTAATTCAGAGGTTTCAGCCTTATTCTTCAAATAGACCACAAAAAGCTGCTGCTGAGAATACACTGTAAGCATAAAGCTCAGATGAAATGAGTTTGCCCCTAAATGTATGATTATTTATATCACCTTGAACTTAGCAAGGGGATGATGAATCAACTGAATAATTCCCAGAGGAAAAGTCCACACAGCACTTTATTCTGGTGCTGGTATTAATGACATGCGAAAGTCTGCTTGCAATCACACATGCATCTGTAAACTGATGACACAGTAATCCTCACAGCAATAACCTTGTTGCAATGAGACTGTTGTCAAACTAAAAATGGCCTAAATTATTCAGTAGGTAGCTGACTATGAATCCACACAAGATCAAAATTAAAACAAGTTAAATAGAAAAGGTTTTGATGGGTCTAACTCAATTACTGACAAAGCGTCTGTAAAAAATAGCCTGTCTCCGAAAACTAATCACATGTAACCAGTAACGCAATGCCCCATGCTGTGCTCTCTCACTGTTTTCGAATCAAATTTGACTCACAACTAAGATGATATCCCTTTTAGGCCCACCAACTCACCAAGAACAGAAATTTCTGATGTTTGTTTATGCATCAAGAATGCAAAATTCTATAATAGGAACACTAGCAAAAATTCCCATTTTCCCAAACCTGTCTCAGATACTTAGATAAATGTGTACATCTCTCTTTCCTTAGCAATATTTGGGAATGTATTTTATACATGTGGGGAAGAATAATTTCTTTTAATATGAAACGACAAAACTGTTTTACATTTAAGTGATACAATCAATAGCTGAGATAGGGTAAGTTTCTTATGTACTACAGTAAAGTCTATTCTAATTT